TATTTACTTCAATTTGGGAAACTTGATCTCGGCTTTCTCCTTCCGTCGTAAAATCGTTAAATGACAATAATTATAATTTTCAAATCATGATATAGCGAATTAAGACAAAAATTTGCTGCTATATCTCCAAAAAGACGAAGAAGCAAATAAGAAATGTTTTGCGTTTTTCTTGCCTGGTCCAAAGAAGAAAACGAACGTCTTCCAAGTCTCCTAGGGTAGACTCAGGTAAAACCGACATTTGGCTCTTCCAATCGTTGAACAGGAGGTCTAGATGTTCATTTAGTAAGTAACCTTCCATGCCCATGCTACATGATCCCATAGTGAGGCCAATTACTGCGGTAAGATACGAGAAAATTAGTGTATCTAACATTTTATATCAAAATAGCATTAAACATTGTTTTCATAACCTAAAGTAAATCGTCGATCCATAATACATCTATATTCGTTCAAAACATGTGATCTGACTTAAAACGTATTTAAATTACGTAGACGATGATTTAGTAGGAGTAGGATTTTGTATCAAAATGTAAATAATGAAACAGGAAACAAAGAAAAAAATAATTTGAGATCTAAGAAAAACAATAAGCCATTCTTTAGCCTGAAGCCGAGATTTGTACGTCTTCCTGTTTTCGGTTTCAATGGTATATCCACACAGCTGGCATTTTACAAACAGGGCGCTAATTTGAATGACTCTCTAATCAATAATTATTTTCCAGGAGACACTGAACAACCTTTGTGTTTATATTTTCATACTTTTCAATTTAGTAAAGCAGATGACAGCAATGAAGGTAATGATATACTAGTATACCTGTTTATAACCAGTTGTATTATTATTCCTAAATATAAATAAAAGGACTAATTGTCATTGTGCTATAGATACTGTTAGTAATGCTTATAAATATATAAAAATAGTTATTAATTATCTTATTCTGACATAATAATCGCAGTAGTTGTAATAATCCTATTAATAACTATTCATGATGCAAAGTTCCATTATCAGTAGCAATGTAAGAGTACATTCTAGGAAACCACAATAGTAGATAAAAAAAAACTACTAAAAAAAGAAAGTAAAATCAGCGTAGTACTTACAGAATATGACAAAAGGCGACATGGCGACTATTTTCCTGCCTTCCCAAGTCGCCTGTTCGATACTCGCAAGCCAACTGTCTGTCATCTCTTGTCTCTCCCTCCTCTCGCTCGCATATCTCCCTCACGTTCCTTTATTTTCCTCCCAACCCCTTCCCGTGTTTTCCTCAATCCACCCTTCGCTCAAGGTTAAGCATCTTCCGAAAGTCAGGCTCAGCTTCTGACAGTTTTATCTGTTCTTTTTCCTTATCTATAAGAATAGAAATTAGAGAATACTGTAATCAGCAACAATAACGAAGAGAACAAATATAAAAAGATACGTAATACACACACACACACACGCATCTATCTGTCTATCTATCTATCTATCTATCTATCTATCAATCTATCAATATATATATACACATATATGAACAGTTCATTTCCTAATTAATACATGCACAGTTGATGTCCAACTAAAAGTTCTGAAGCACCTTCGTTAACTCTGTAGCTTTATCAGGGGCGGTAAATAGATTGAAGGCCTTATACATTGCTGTTTCCCACCGTAATCGGCCTCGGGGTTTAAGTCTTGGGAACGACCGGCTGTTAGGTCGTCGAGAACGTCGTTTCAATTAAGCAGAAATGAGGCAGTCTTACGTTATATGTAACTGTTCTTAATTATGTCAGTAGCATAACTCAGAAAGTTATGAGATGAAGACCCTGCGGATAGAACAATGTGTATATATAATGTGCGTGTAGACACACGCACATACACACACACACTCACCCCCCACTCACACACACATACGCACACACACACACACACATATTTATATATGTGTGTGTGTGTGTGTGTGTGTGTGTGTGTGCGCGTGTGTGTGTGTGTGTGTGTCCATATACATACATATATATATATATATATATATATATATATATATATATATATAGAGAGAGAGAGAGAGAGAGAGAGAGAGAGAGAGAGAGAGAGAGAGAGAGAGAGAGATAGAGATAGAGATAGAGAGAGAGATATGTGTCTGTGTGTGTGTGTGTGTGTGTGTGTGTCCATATACATACATACATATATATATATATATATATATATATATATATATATATATATATATATATATATAGAGAGAGAGAGAGAGAGAGAGAGAGAGAGAGAGAGAGATAGAGAGAGAGAGATAAATTATAAACTTACTTATATATATGTATATATGTATGTATATATACACACGTATGTACATATAATATATATATGTATAGATACATACATACACACACACATACATACATATATATATATATATATATATATATATATATATATATATATATATATATATATATATATACGTATATGTATATATATATATATATATATATATATATATATATATATATATGTATGTATATCTATATCTATATCTATATC